CATATGTCAACTTCTATGCATGTAAATGTGTCTGTTTCTGTATTTGTATGTGCATGTTAGTGTTCACTTATGCACGAAACCCGAAGTGATGGCTCATACTCGATCAAATATGCCAGATGTAGAGTATATATACCACTTTTTAGGGATTTGAGGGTGAGTTTTCTTGACTAGTCAGCTTGAATTTTGTTGTGACGATGATACCTTTCTCTGTTGATGTTCATCATATGACGGACGAAAGCTTAGCACCTTTTTACCGGAATCGAAGGATATTGCCTCGGAAACAGCGTCAGCATGAATCTTCCAGTAAAGTCAATCGACAGCTGGTCAAGAGAAATTCGCCGTCGTCTTCTGGTGGAACTGACCTTCGAATCTATTTACCCAACACTTCTACTTGAAATAAAAGTAATCCCAACAATATGAAGTTGACATCCGAGGACATCATTTGTCACTTAGTCGTCTGGTGTACCCTTAAATGTAGGTGGATACTGTAGAAATGAATGTAGATAAAAAATGCATAGTGAAGAATGTATATTTTGTAGAAAACGCGCAAACACAATAAAAATGTAGTAACACACATATTTTCCTCACCACGACCCGGTTTTGAATCACTTTTAGGGCGTTAATGAGGCCTATACCAAGTCGAAACTGCATTCGAGCTTGTACAAAGAAACCTTAAGGGTTTCGTGAGCCTGGGAGAAGAGTCGCCCGTTATCATTCGCATGATCTGCCCCGAGGAATCGGTCATAATAGGCTAACCAAGTAACACTTAAAAACCCTGATAATCAAACTAGCCAATATTGCATTCAGAACCAGGATCCCACAATGTCATCTTTCTATCATATCTTTGGGTCACCTGAGACTGGCCTCTTTGCAAGGCCCTAATAAATCCCTCCTCTTCCCCTAGAACCACTGGCCTGTAGTTCCTCATGACCTCATTTCGCATGCCATAGCAACTGGCCTTTTGATCTCTCAAGTCATCAATCGCTGCAACAATAGAAACCAACTGTTTCAATTCGACGTTTGCATTGGACCTGTGCATCACATAATCAGAGCCGTGTGAGCCAAATGACCTATTTTGCATCTATCAAGAAGATTTGGGATTGATTGTGCTCCCATCTTCTATCCGCAAAGAGGAATCTCTCAGTCGGTTGTGACTCTCTGTCTCAGATTCTGTACAGCGAAAGAAGGCCTCGACTAAAATAAGAGCTACATCAGCCTGGCCTTTATTCGTTCGATCTTCTGGTAACTTTGATACCAGAAACTCATTGGCTATAGACAATTTTCACTCGTAGGTGAAACCAATTGATAAAATCACACTTGTCTCCATTCAACCGGCTGACTAGAGGGCTACTTCTCTTTTCAAATATTTCAAGTTATAAATGCTTTTTCACTAGGCCTAAATAGGGATAATTAGGAAGCTACAATTACAATTATAAAATGATGAGCATCATAAGTCAACTTGAGGAGATTGGTGAATTTAGTGAGGAGGATCTCTTAGAAAATAGGAATCGAGTTTAAACTTTATTGTGCAAACAGGATTCACGATAGTGTAAAGTTGTGAAATCGCGAGAGAAAG